AGCACTGTAGTCCCTCCTTATCCACGAGGGATATGTTCCAGGAACCTCGGGGAAGCCTGAAACTGCATAGTACCGAGCCCTGTGTATACCACGTTTCTTTGATCTGCCGAGTAACAAATGGGCTGGCAGTGCACGGCCTCGATACACTGAACAACCAGCTCATTCACCACCAGAAGCTCGAGTCGGAAGGCTGCAAGATTTCATCTGTTCCTTAGAAGGGTGTGCAACCTAAGCCTTAGGAATTATTTCTGGAATTTTCTTTTTTTCTTCAAGATTTAACTTTTTTGTTATTATTTTTTTAAAGAATTATTTTCATTTAACTTTATTTATCTATTTATTTTAATTTGACCAGAGGGAGACAGAGAGGAAGTGAGAAAGCAAGCTGCCAGGTGCAGGACTTGAACCATGATCGGCCAGGTGGGAGTCCAGCACCCTTAAGCCCCATACCACTTGCTGGCCCCATTGTTATTATTATTAATCTTTTAATTTGACCAGAGGGAGACAGAGAGGAAGTGAGAAAGCAAGCTACCAGTTTCGGGACTCGAACCATGGTCAGCCATAGAGTACAACACCTTAACCGCCATGCCACTTGCTGGCCCAGATTTCTGGGATTTTCTATTTAATACTTTTGGGCCACAGTTGACTGCAGATAAGATAAACTGTGGAAGGTGAGGCTGTGGACAATAGTGCCCTGCTGGGTATTGTGATCGGTACTCAGTGAAAGGCTCCAGGGAACCTCCCCAGATGCCGGGGCCTTGCCTCTCCGTGCAGCTGTGTCTCTGGTACCCCACCCTGTGAAGTCCAGGGCCCTGGCCTACCTACATTCCCAACTCCGCCCTCTCCATGTAAGGAAACCACTGGCCCCCACTGGGTTTCCTCCTGTGCTACAGCCTGTAAACGCTCCAACTCCAGCTGGGGCAGGATGACATTCATCTTGTTTGCTGCCCTTCCCTGGGGACCTGTGCTACTACACCACCTGATGCCAAATGTCTAAAAGACAGTTTTTAAAACATATGCAAGGGGCCTTCAAAAAGTACATGGAAAAACGAAATTACAGTGCAAAAGTTTATTCTGGTGCAAAATATGAAATCATAATTTATGATACACATTTTTCACAAACTTTTTGAAGGTCTCCCTTGTCTGTATATTCTTCAGTAACTTAAGGTGGGAGAGTATAAAAAGCCCCTATCTCTCCATCATAGCTGAAATGTTCCATTTAGGATTTTTATTAGAACTGGGGAAATTGGACATTTACATTGTCTCCTTTTAGCAACATGGCGTATCAATTTATTTAGGCTTCTGTTTAACTCTTCCTGTGGATTTTATGGTCTTAGGCATTCATATTGATGTTGTACTTAATTAAATGTCCCACTATAGGTTCCCTAACTTCTCAATTAAAGTACTTATGCTTACCCTGCAGCAATCAGAGACAGAGTTTTTAGAAGACCCCTGAGTTTCTGCTTCTTAGAGTAACTCGGAGACCTGTCCTCTCCCTCTCACCTCTGTGGACCTGTAGCAGAGCCTGTTCCAGGCAATTCTCTCATGATGGCCGAGTAACACTGAGTAGCTCTGGACTGGGGCCTGGGGGGTGGGTGAGGAATCAGGAGAAGCATCCTTTATGGAAACCCGAGGTGGAAACTGACACAGGACTGCTTCATCTCGGCAAGGCTTGCCTGAAGCCTTTTCCTAGTTGTTTTTTTTTTTTTTTTTTCCTCCTACAGGGCACATGTGCTCACTGGAGAGAGATGAGAGAGAGAAACAGAGAGAGAAAAAGAGACAAAGTGAGAAATCACCCCCTAGGGAGAATGATCATGTCACAATCCCTTTTCCTCTACTCTCCTCTTGAGCTTTTGAGCATGCACATAAGTGTGCCCATTCTGAGTTTTCAAGCCACCAGGTCTGAGACTAGAAGGGAAATCCCAGCCATGTGGAACCCGGTCACCTTGACTTCCATCCACCTGCTGACCCCGCCTTTTTCTATTCTGAACTCTTCAGGCGTGGAGGTACTAGCAGTAAAGTTTGAAGATTGAGCTATGGGTCTTCAGAGGCCGCAGTCGTCTCTGTCTGGTTGTGGAGTGACTCCACCTACCTTATTTTTGCTGTGGGCCTCCTCTTTGACAGATGGTTAGTAATGCACAGGAAAAAGAAATCATCTCTAATAATATCTCTGGGTTAAACAGGCATTTGTGGGCTAGTGAGGGAAGTGTTCTAAATGTCAAACAACCAATTTAGAAGCAAACTGGGAACACGATTCCTTCCTAAGTTGGGAACTGTCTGTTCTTATGAAACCCATCTCTTGCAGTAATGACAGTAATGAATTGAGGAACCCTCACCGCTCTAGTTGACATCAGATGGGTAAACACCCGCCCTAAGTAATGAGCCGGTTAATTATAGCTTTGCCGTGTTTATAGACCTTCAGCTAATCTCTTGAGAGTATGCGACTCCGTCACCTACGACGGCCCACAGCAGCCGAACACGACTTTTCAGAGGTCAGCCTTCTCCATTAACCCCGATACATGAACCAAAGGCTGGTGGGTTCAGCTTACCTATTTTTGTGACACCTCTGTGTGGGGATCAACTTATATAAAGCAGCTGAGAAATAACAAGGCAAATAAAACAGTGTCAGGGAGGAGATTTTAAAATATTTCACTGCACTCACATAACCCCCACCCACATACTTAGCCAATCACATGGATGTGACCTCCTGGTCTCTGGAATGTGGGTGTTCTCAGACTTTCTAAATCGGCAAGTTCGGGGGTCTCACTTGGACATCAGTGCACGCTCAGCTTTACTGAACAAAGAAAACAAGGTCCTCCTCAAGAAATGCAATAGCCCTGGACACCCTGGAGACCCTACCCATCGCAGTGTAGCTCATGCCAGCTCACGAGCACAGAGCCAGGCTGGTCTACACTGCCTGGAATCAGCTAAACCACTGGGCTGCCAGCCGATGCACACTGGCATTGCTTGCAGAAGCCCCCAGATCAAGTATCTCAGCATCTCTGGGCTGGGCCCCAGGCACCGCTGTCTTAAGCTCTCCAAGTCATTCCAGTGTGCAGCCAGGCTGGAGAACCGCTGCCAGACTAGAATGGTTGCAGCCAGTGCCCATTTTTAACATCCAAAGTATTCCTGAAGACAAGATTTTAGCTCCTAGCATACAGCAGCAGTACATTGCGAATTACTTACTTCACTCCTCCCGAGGACTTGGCCGAGCACGGGAAAATTGCGTTCCTCCAGTACACAGTCTAGGAGATGACGACCTGTGTGTGAGTGTGAAACATACTTCCTTTGACTGCTTTTGAATGTGATCTGTTTATTTTGAAATCAAAACACTCTACCGAGTATTGTATCTCTCTAATTGCCAAAGACAGAGAAGAAAAAAAAAGTACCCCCCCCAATGAGGTATGGTCACACTGCAATTCTTTTCCTCTATTTTTCATCTCACCAGGAATTTGAACCTGCACACCCATGCACCTGACACATTTTTCAAGCTGCTAGGGATTGGAATTTGAGCCCTGGTCGGCCATGTGCAATCTGGCTCTCAGCACATAGCACTTAATCACTGTGCTACAGGGCTAGCCCAGTGATTGCTCCAAGTGTCTCAATTAACAGTTGTTTTATGGATAATTTAAGATATATTACTGTATCTTAAAAAGTAGAGCCCTAGGGACCAGCAGTTGGTGTAATGGCTATGTCACTGGACTCCCATGTAGTTGACCGCGGTTCAAGTCCCGATCCCAGTGGCTTAAACCACACCGGGTGCGTATGCGAGCGTGCCCGAGATCCAGAGAGAATGGAGGAAAGGGGATTATGGCACGGCCATCCTCCCTGGGGGGGTGATTTCTCGCTTTCTGTCTGTCTCTCTGGTGAGCGCACACACCCTATAGCAAAAAAACAAAAACAAAAACTCTCAAAATAAATAAATAAAAAGTAGAGCCCTTTCCCCCCTATAGTTTGGTACTGGATAGTGGCTGACTACCATGGCCTCTGGGACAAAAGGTCCTGGAACCTTGGTTCCTTCATCTCTAACTTGAGGACAACAACAGTGCCAGCCTATGGGAACATGAGGATTCAGTGGGTTACCATGCCATTGTTTTTCTTTCCTTTTTTTTCCTGGAGAGATTTTTGCTATAGTGTACACTCACTGGAAGATAGAGAATGACAGAGAGACAGAAAGCAAGAAATAACTCCCTCATGGGGGATGGCCATGCTGTAATCCCTTCTCCTCCATTTTCCTCCCTGGATCTTGGGCATTCGCACACACATTCCCAGAGTGATTTTGCATTTTTATTTATTTTTTTGGGAGAGGTTTTTGCTATAGGGCATGTGCACCCACCAGACAGACACAGACAGAGAGATAGAAAGTGAGAAATCACCCCCCAGGGAAGATGGCCACGCCACAATCCCTTCTCCTCCATTCTCCTTTCGGGATCTTGGGCACACATGCACACGCACTCGGCGTGAGTTTAAGCCACTGGGTCTGGGACTCGAACCACAGTCGACTACATGGGAGTCCAGCGACATAGCCATTATGCTAACTGCTGGTCCCCCAGAGTGATTTTGAAGCCACGGGATCCAGGACTCAAACTGCAGTTTGCCATGTGGGCGTCCAGCAATGTAACTGCTTCGCCATCGACTGGTCCCTAACGTGCAGGTCTAATACATGTGAAATAGGGCCTGGTGTCTAGCGGCACTTGGTGCCAGCCACTGCCATCACTGCCTGGAATTCTATCCCATGGGCCCCTCAGGTTGTCCTTACTGCGCTCCATCACAGGGAAGAAGAAGAAAACACATTCACTCCTAATGCTTCCTGCTCAACTGGGACTCTAATAATAATAAAGGCACTTTTAAGGCAAAAAAGTAACTTTATTGATGGTTAATCTTACCATGAAATGCCTATAAGAAATAATTACAAAATAATGCAGGTTTTTTTTTTTTTTTACATACTTTTGGTATCATCCTGACACGATGATCCTTTCACAGAAAGGATTATTTACAGTTTATGTAGGTATAAAGCTCATTGTTGCGAATACAAATGTAGACGAGTAGAGGCAATAATACCAAGTTGGTATACCGAAGAGCAATGGGTATGTAACAAAGGCAGAATAAATAGCAACTTTAGACTTTTCTTTTTATTTTTTAAAACAATTTCCAAATACAAAAATGCAGATTATTCAAAGTGGATTTTCATATACATATGTGTGTGTGTGTGTGTGTGTATAATTCTGTTACAAATGGACCAAAAAGCAAAAATGTTCCTTAGCATGTTTCGTTTTTGAGAACTCACAAGGCTATTCATAAATCCAATTAGAAAGAGGGGGGATGCAAAACCACCAACAATGCTGGGAAACTCCTGAAGACCTGATTCTGGCTGAAGTGAAGAGAAAAGAAAGTATAAAAAGCACTACCTGTTTAATTAAATACGTGGTTTTTTTTTTTTCTTTATGTCTGCAAGAAACACTAAGAGCTAAGGACACATACCGCATTAGGATCTGAGCTCTTTAGAGTACAAACTTCACCAGGATTTGTCTCGTAAGCATCTATAAGAAATGGTGGATTATTTAATGACTTATAAATAAAACAGTCATTAAATGATCCATTCATACTGGTACCCTTTATACAGAGACTGAGATACTTTTATACATTCTGATATCTGGAACTTTGGTTCTTTTAAAGCATTTCATAAAAGCAAAATACTTTCATGACCTCAGAATTTTACAGAACTTTTGTTTTCCTTTTCAAGTGTCAGGTGAGACTAATTTAACACAGCTCTGTTGTACATGTCTGCGACCCGGCACAGGAGGGCAGCACAGGTGGGCACGATTGTGTTCACCATTCATTTAATAATACTGACTCCCATCCACGGGTAACACTGCTTATATTCTGCTGTACCCTAAATCTATTTCTTTGTTACCTGAAAACATAATTTTGTACAAAAATATGACTGTTTCTTTAGAAAATAATATATAGTTTTTTTTTAATAAAACCTGCAGATAGAAAAAATGGTGTATCAAAATATGGTAAACAAATGTTGTAAAATACTAAATCATTAAAAACATCTCATAGAAAGACATTGTGCTATGAAGTTCTCTCCTGAAGTGCGAGCAATACTTTTGCTGTACATTAAAAGGTTGGTAAATTCACTCTCCTGACTCAGTTTCATTATACATCTTAACAGCAGCACCGCAGTAACTATCTTAAAAATGGCCCTCTGTCGTACGCTAACATCGTCCATATACTTTTACTTCAAAGTTAACACCCTCTGGATCAGTGGTTTCCAACTCTGTTGCATATTAGGTCCATCTGGAGAACTTTCTAAGAAAAGGCCAGTCCCCCTGGGCCCTCCACAAGTGACTGATTTAATGGGTCAGGGGTGGGACTCAGACATCATCTTTTAAAAGCTCCCCAAATAATTCTACTATGCTATCAGAATTGAGAATCATGGCCAAAGGCACATGAGGAAACAGTCACCCTTAACACATATCAACTGATTGTCTGTAGGTATCACTCATTCAATGATATATCCTCAATATTCACGAAGGAGTACCATGTGTCCAAGATAGTCATGGAAACCAAACTGAAGAGTTAGTAAGCTTTAAACACATATAAACACACACAATGCCATGTATTTATATATGTATGACATAAGCATATAGTTAGGGCATTTTGGTTAGACAGAAAATAGCAGTATCATGATTTGTTCCTGATAATTTAAAAAGCCAAAGACAAAGAAAACACCAAGCACAGACTTTCTCTAGGACATTTCCACAGTTTTAGCAGAAGTCAGTTTTGTAAAACTCCGCAAAATGCACTGTAACATGAACACAACGGAGCTGTGACTCAGAAGAGGAGTCTGGCTGAATCCTAGAGCTTTCTGGAAGAGCACAGAGGAGGGCTGGCGCTGGCAGGCCTGGAGGCGTCACGAGGCGTCACGAGGCGTGTCATGACACGCACAGGCTTCTGCTTATTGCTTCATTGTCATCTTCTCCACTCGGAGTGGCTGCTTCTGCGATTGTACGTATCTTTGGCTGGCTAGACCCACGATCGTGACCACTTGGTTAGTGTTCATCTTGGGAAGCCTCGGTGAGGAGGCAATGGCTATGTGCTAGGCAACGGTCTCTCTGTTAAAAGAGAGAACCTTCCCTCTCTCCTCCCTCAAACCATGAGCATTTCATGAGGGAGTGGTTTAAAAAACAACAAAGGACAAGCAGACAAATTAAACTAACATCTTTCATGTGATAAAAAGACTGTGACGTTATGTGTAACTGAACTAAAAATCTATCAATGGACAACCACACCGCAGTCCGATATTCTGATGGCTTGGTACCAAGTAAAGTACATTTCCTTCCAGAGCATCAGTGAACTTCCGGGCACTTGTCTTGTCGTACATTCTTTGTAGTTCTCTTCCCCTGTGTAATACTTAAAGTGCAATTGTCCCAAGGCTTTGTTTCCATTGCAAATACTAGGAAATAAAAAAGAATCATGTTTGGGGTGAAGAAAATATGGCACAAGTATTATGCTAAGAACCCCCTGGCTTTGACAGTCTCTGGCCAACAGCAGGCTGCCTGTGCAGTTGCACGCGGATGGACTTTATACAACAAACTCTGGAACTTCGTCATGAGTGAGATCCAGAGAAAAGTATTTGCTGGTTCTTTTGACTGGAAAAGCATCTTGGATGTTGACACACTGCTGAGCCAGGCAGCTGTTACAGTAGAGGCCTTCCTCATCCAGTTCATGGCCACATCCGAAGGTGTAGCTCTGAGCAGTGTCCTGACACAGACCCGCAATGCGTAAGAAGTCCTTCTGGTAAAGTCTGATGTCATCAAGGCTCAAGCTATGTCGATCAGTGGAAGTCTTTGGTTTGCGACATATGGTCTACAAAATAAGAGAAGGTTGAAACAGCTTTAAGGGGATGGGCCAAAGTGAAAGCGAGCATATTTTCCCTATAAGGAGAGATGCTGCCAAATCATTAGAAGTTAAGTAATCCTTACATGGGAGAAAGTGCCAGTTGTGGCTTCTGGGGCCCTCCCTGTGGGGACATAAATCAACACCATCACCACCAATAACAACAGCCAGCCTTTACTACATGCCAGGCTCTGACCTAAACAGTCTATTGATGCACTTTGTTGGCCTTAATAGCTCGACGAGGCAGGTGCTATTATTTTCTACATTTACAGACAAATAATCTAAGACGCAGAGATGCAAATATAATAGGAATCCGACTGTCCCTAGCATTTCAGAAATCGACCATTATCTTAAAATAAGGCTGTACAGGTAAAGGTACTGGTTGTTTTTCACTAGACTATGGCAATTCAGCGTGGCTCTTAGGCTGAGGTCAGTTATTATTTGTAAGTAATGGGAAAGAAAACCAATTGTTACCCATGAAACAGTCTGAGGAACTACTATGTAAAAAGCCAGAATTCTTGAGCAGAATGGAGTGTTCTTGGTGTTGAGACAGTTGAGAGGCAAGTACCGGGAGAAGAGGCTGCTCCTTAACACCAAGTTCACATTCGTGTTCATGCTTTGTCAAGTGCTTTGTGTGCAGGCATGAGTGAACCCTGGAACTCATTATCCCAAGAACAAGTGACTACTATAAACTACAAATAGGCTTTAAAAATGGTTCCCAGCCCTGGTTAGGTGGCACGGTCCACAGTGTCCTGGACTGCAGTGCTGGAAGCCACATGGCCGACTGTAGTTCGGATCTCAGGTCAGTCTCAAAACATGCCAGGCAAAGCTCTAAGATCCTGTGGAACTGCAGGACTGGGGAAGGGGAATCACAGTGTAAGACCCCACCAGGGTGCATGCACACATTGTCTGTATTTCCTGAGAACACAGCTGCTATCGTTCAATAAAGGGGTCAGAGAGTTATATAAATAAAAGGCACTTAATACATTATTTAAGGAAACTAGGCACTGTATCTCTAAATTTTACTGCTTATCATTGTAAAGGACAACTTTGTCAGAACAAGATAGCACTTTTTGCTGGAGGCAAAAGTTCCAAGAGGACATTTTTCCAGGAAGCGTCGTATCAGAGTGACCCCTCCTGCACACGATGATTCCTTTCACAGATGCAGGTGTCCCAGGCCCCACAGGAGTCCACACACACTCGTCTGGTCCCTCCCCACAGATCCTCACCCAAATGCCCTCCCCATGCTGGGGAGTAGGATCTGATTCCCAGCTGTGTCCCGTGGGCATTTCTGTGCAAGGGCTCACACTGAGTGGCAGAGCTGGCAGCTGGCAGTCTGGCTATGGTGTGTCAACAGCTTGGCATTCATACCGCTTTCAAGATTACTCGTTGGTGATTGGGAAATAGTCAGTAAAAGTAATTTTCACTCAATGGATAATTCAATAGCAGTAAGAGAAAGAAAGGACAAATAAGAAAAAGGAAGAAAGAGTGGAGGAAATAGCAGGGGACAAAGAGGGTCAGAAAGCAAGAGAAAGAAAGAAATACGAGAAACATATGGGCAGAAGAAAAACAAGACAGAGACAGAGAGAGCGAGCGAGCACGCGCGAGCACACAAAACAGAACGGCACAGGAGGAGGGAGAGAGTACTTAGAAAACAGAGGTATCAGCTGCAGTCTATTCGGATACTGAAGCCATGAGTTTCAGAGCATTTTACCTATATCGTTTTTTCATTTTATTAGTTTAATCCTAGGTTGTCAAATGTTCTGGCTCAGCATACTTTGAAAATTCAAACTGAATGTAACAGTCACAGCACGGAGACATTCCTACCATTAACACACTTGACAAGAAAACTATTCTTCTAGATCATTAATGAGGTCAATCAACAAATACGGATGCACATGCACACATATGTGTACACACACACACACACACACACACACAGTTAATCTATTGCCTAAAAACCACAGGCTTCCCACCTATATAAACCCTCTGAAGCAAAGTATAACTTATCCAAATAAAAATCAACTCAGAGATAAGTGGAATTAGTAAGTAAAATGGAAATAAATTTAGAATAAAATTAGAATGTGTGTATCTGGTAAGAACCATCCCCTCAGGCATTTCTCTCAGGGTGCTTAGTTTTTGCTCATGTGTATAAATACAAAATGGAAGCTCCTCTTTATTATTTTTCTATAACCTCAGTTCCTCATTTAAAATTCGTAAACTTTTGGTACCTGTGGAAGAGAATCAGTGCTCTGGCCCCGGAGTTTGACAACAGTCTCTGAAGAGCTGGAAGTGGAAGAACCAATTTCTTTTACAATCAACCCTAGAGTAAAACACAGAGAAAAAGCAATAAACACTTCGTATTATTCACACCTCTCACTACACGTCCTGACACACGTCGGCCCCAGGAATGAAAACTCAAACAGCAGCCATCACTCAGAAGCTTCCTTGGGATGCTGTGGGATGAGACAGAAGGATGATACATGGCCCCTCCCTTCCCTTATGGTAAGTCAAGGTGGTGAATGTGAGGACTGGAGGCAGGGAAGAGTGCAGATCTGAACTTCTTTTAAAAATAAGTAATCAATAATATTTATGAGAGAGTGCATGCATGTGCACACTTGAGAGGGAGAAAAAGAGAGAGTAGATAGGAATCTTCTAACGGAGTCTTGTGCTGCAAGAGGCAGGGAGGTTCTCTCACACAGGGTCCTGTGCTGTGGATGGGAGGCAGAGAGGTTCCCTCACACAAGGTCCTGTGCTGTGGATGAGAGATTCTCTCACACAGGGTCCTGTGCTGTGCATGAGAGCCTCTCTCATACAGGGTCCTGTGCTGTGGATGGGAGGCAGAGAGGTTCCCTCACACAGGGTCTTGTGCTGCAAATCCTTTCTCCAGGACCTTGGGCACACATGCACCAAGGGTGTTTTTGGGTCAACCTGGAGATCTGATCCCACCATTGGCCACGTGGCTTCTAGGAGTGTGGTTCGGTATGCTCCCCAAGGCTGGGGCCTAGAGTCTGAATAGAAATTCAGATAAAGTTCTGCTAGGCTATTTCTGATGAAGTAAGGGTAAGGATGACTGTAGGTATAAAGCCACTGTTTACTATTAAACTATCTCATAAAGCTTCCCCTTTCTCCCTTTCTACTAACTTGAACTTGACCCCTGCCTAACCATGATGCAGTCTTCTAAGTCTGGTTCCACTTGGACGTGCAGTGGTTCAGTGTGGGGACTTCAGACAGATCTGAGCTGGAACCTGGCCTGGACATTTAACTGACACATAGCCTGGCCAGATACTTGGCCTCCCTGTCTTAGTTCCCTGCTCTTAGAAAATGGGGCTTCTAGCAGCGTTATCCTCTAGAGGATTAAGGATGATTAAGTAGCCAATGTATGATTCTATGAGAAGGGTCAGGGACAGAGCCTGCTGAGGTGGCATGCTCGTGCATGGGATCTCTCCTTGGCTGGTGGCGGCACTGTGGTTCTTAGCACCTGCACAAAATCCTACTGGTAAGAGACCAAAATGGGAGGCCACAATGAATCTTTGGTACTGTGTAACTGAGACCAAGAACCCTCATCACCTCAGTGCTCAGGGGAAAGCTGCTAAATTTACAGAAAACGAAACCCAGAGGCAACCTTCCCCTACATGACTGTGCTGTATGAGTGAGGCCCCCAGAGACAAATGTTTCCAAAGGTAAGATTACCGACAAAAACTGGGGATGTGCATGAACATCACTGACACTTTTCTTTGCTGTTAAATGAAGTACGGCAAACACTAGATCCACAAGGCTAATGGCTTAAGAAAGTACATCTCCACCTTACAAAAAAAGATCTTGGACTACTACTGCCAGTAGACTACAGCAATGACGTTTTGTGTCTGTCCCTTCACTCTTTAGAAATGTGTCCTAATGACTCAGTGTGCACCATGCCTTGCATATGTTAAGTATTCAATGGTGAGCTCAGCTAAACAACTACGAAGACATTTCTGGTTTATATGCACACAGTTTAAAAACTCTCAGGGGACGCTCGTGTTTCAGGGGTTGGTACAAAGTGCTTCAGAATCCCATCTAGAAGGATCTCCTTTTTTTCTTTCTTATTTTGGAGAGGTTTTTGTTCAGAATCCCATCTAGAAGGATCTTTTTTTTTTTTTTTTTTCTTTTTTTGGAGAGGTTTTTGCTATAAGGGTGCATGCACTCGCCAGAAAGACAGAGACAGACAGAGAGACAGAAAACGAGAAATCACCCCCCAGGGAGGATGGCCACACCACAATCCCTTCTCCTCCTTTCTCCTCTCAGGATCTTGGGCATGCATGCACACACGCCCAGCGAGGTGCATGTGTCCAGAGGGCGAACCATGGTCGACTACCTGGGAGTCCAGCGACATAGCCATTACGCTACCTGCTGGTTCCTGGATCTTTATCTTCTAAAACTTTGATTTGTATTAAAGCTTTGATCCTGACAGTTATGTACCAGCTGGCACACGGCCTTGCTCCTTTTAGATCTCCTGGTAAGTGTGGCCCTGGTTACCAAGCCTGCAGTCTTCTCCAAAACCCAGACCCACCACTAGGAAAGTCAGTCCGGAGTCTGTCTCAAAGCCCTGAGTCAACTCTCACAACACTCACACTTCAGTAGAGAGGTACACTTCATCACTACGCAATTTTAGTTAGCTTGGTGTTTAAACACAACGCTTACGGCCAGCCCTTGGCATAGTGGTTAAGGAGCCTGGATCTCACATGGCTGAATGTGTGGTTCGAGTCCCTGTCTCAGTAACCTGAAAAACACACTGGGAACATATGCAGGCATGCCCAAAATCCCGAAAGGAGAGATATGTAGGAGAAGGGATTGTGGATAACCATTCCCCATAAGGTATCTTCTCTCTCTCTCTCTCTGGCAAGTGCACATGCCTGCTGGCAAAAATTTGAAAAGGAAAAAAACAGCATTTAAATGCTCAAATTATAGAGAATTTGGAAAACTGGGATGATATGTGAAATAAAATAATCTCTATCATCCATAGAAAAGTCCTGAAATATTTTTATGTATCTTCTTTATATCTTTTTACTTCTTAATTAGATCTTAATTTTATGTAATTTGTATTGTTTTCCTAACATAGCTTTCCTAGGTTACTAAATATCCTTTGAAAAATCTCATATATAATGGCTGCTAACATTTCACTGTATGAATTCAGTATTTTTTTTGCTATTACAAATAACATTCCAATAAATATTTTTCAGTATATAAATCTTTCTAAACAAGCATTCTATTTATTTACAGTTTACTTTTATTTAAAAATCACAAAATAATCATAAAAATGAAATGTAGAAATGTAGGAATATAAGTTAGCTTCCCTCCTAGCTCCCGTTCCATAGACACCTTGCTTCACACAACTCAGACCATCTCTTTTCCATAAGCATATACGTGTAGAACTATCCCTGTATTTATAATGTGCACAGAATTGTGAATTTATATATAAGACATATTGAAATGTATTTGTAAGGAGACAATTCAATATAATAAAGCAAATGGGCAAAAGGGGGCAAGTTTGGTATGTGAATCTGAGCAGCCTGGAGCGAGCAGCCTGAGGGGTCTGCTGGTCAGGAAGGGTGACTCTGGCACCTGTGGTGGGTCTGCCCCTGGCAGAGGACCTGGAGGCTGTGGGCCTGCTGGGCCTGCTGAGCCAGCAAGCAGATTTCTGAAATGAAAGGTGCCTCGTGGCCTTGCAGGGTGTGCCAGGACGACGGGTCTGTGTGTGCTGGTCTTATTGTCTTATTCACCTCTGGGTCACAGTGCCTGGTGCAGGGGAGAGGCTCCCAGCTTCAGGGACTGTGGGTGTGACAAGGCAATGGCACCCCAGGCACGACGAGGGTTGTTTCCCCAATCGAAGCCAGAGGGAGCAGAATGATGAGCACTCAGGCCGTTCCCACAGCACTATTTCTCTAGAGAACAGAGGTTATTCCTGACATGTGACAGAAGTAGTGAGAGCTGACTGGGGTTTAATAAACAAGAGTCATACCTGCTGGCTTTGTTGTTGTTGTGGAAGATAGTATCTTTCATGTGATAGAAACATATATAACCTTATAATAGGGTTCTAGTGGACACTAGCTAATGGTGTAGTGAGTATGTTGCTGGACCCCCACGTGGCTGTCTGTGGTTCGAGTCCTAGACATGGTAGCTTGAAACTCACGCTGGATGCATGTGTGTGCAGACCCAAAATCCCAAGAGGAGAAGGGATTGTGGCATGGCCATTCCCCCTGAGGGGTGATTTCTCACTTTCTGTCTCTCTATCACTACAGTGAGCACAATCACCCTATAGCAAAAATCTAAACCCCCAAAACCCAAAAAAGGGTTACAGTGAATGCATATTTTCTAGAATCATTCACAGAGATGTGGAATTTAAAAGTCTGTCTTCCTTTCTCTCTCTCTCTCTCTCTTTCTTTCCTTCTTTCCCCTTGATATAGGGTATGTGTGGTTACTGGAGAGACAGAGAGGGAAAGTAAGAAAGCAACCCCCCCCCACCCCTGCTGGGCCACCAGGGGAGTGACTTCACCACAATCCCTTCTTCTCCGTGCTCCTCTCAGTATTTTGGGCACACATGCACATGTGCCCAGTGTGTTTCTCAAACTGCCAGGTCTGGGACTCAAACTGCAACATCATCCATGTGGAATCCTGATGCCTTAATCACTAAGCCACCAGCTGGCCCAAGAGTGCCTTTTTAGATCAACCCTGCTGGGCTCCTTTTATCCCAGACTCCTACACAAATATATAGTGGAGAAAACAAAGCACAACACACCTGGAGGCCTCACTTCTCTCTCTGGCCATGCAGCATTTGTCATCTCTAATCTATGTTTCCTCATCTGTTAGGAGGAGGCCAGACTGAAAGGTCTCCAAGGCCCCTTTTTGATGCATTTCATGATTCTGATTCAAAATAGCAAAAAAAAAAAAAAAAAGAAAAGAAAAGAAAGTCCGAGGTGCCGATTCCCACTCCTGGCTGTTCCTCTCCTTCCCTGCCTTCCTCAGGAGGTCCTGGATCCTGCAACTACGACACTGGCTAGAAATGCGGCTATTCCAGCTGTCTCTGATTGAGAGCCCCCACCTGCCCCTTCTATTTCCCGAGGCTCCTGCTTTCTACTTCTGCCCAAGGAGAGCTCCCCATAACGCTCACCAGAGTGTCCGTTCAGCTTCCGTGACATAAGCATGTCCTCCGTGATATAGATGCACATGTCCGGGCTCACTTCCAGAGACTCTTCGTTCATGTGCTCCAGATCCCTGGGGTCGTCAACCAACATCTCTATTTCTGACCCAGAAGAAGGAACATGCATTTAATGGCATGAGGGGAAATGACCAAGTGTCACCCGCAGCCACACCTCGAGGAGGGCGATGTAATTCTACATATCTGAAAACACATGTGCAAATGAGACTGCAACAGGAGACTCTAGGGACCATGTTAACTGCGTGCTCTTTTTCACAGGAGTGCTATGTTATCTGAATATTACTTCTAAGGCCGTGATTTGAATATCAGTTAGTCTGTATCCTTTAAGAAAGAAGAATTGTTGCACTGGGCTGCAACGAGGAAGGGCAAACTAAGATTGATGGGCTGCTTGCCTAGCACCAAAGCCACAACTGCTGACAGATGCAGAATGGGCAGTTCCTGAGGCCCCGTTTCCCACAGCCGCCTACTCTCAGGGCATTTGGTGACTTGACCTGAGATTTTCATGGGGTCTATAGGAACCAAACACGTTTTGCAGTTTTCCCTAGCTGAGTCAATTTCTTTTTCCCAAACCTGAATGTTCCAGTCCTTATTAGAAACAAAGATAACATAAAGAGGCACCAGATGCTACATTTGGCTGGTGGAGGCGCTAGGTCTCAGCTTACTCTAACACAGAGGAAGCTGCTAGCAGCCAGGTGTATTTCTCTTATATGCTCCATAGTCCTGATCGCATAGGAAGCACTTAGGAAACACTTCATGAATTGACCCAGTGGTATGGACTCCAATCTTTTTAGTGTGGAGGCCAGAAGTTCAAGATGTTTATGTCACTGTCATGGCATGCCACTCTACTGTCCTAAGTGCTGCGTTATTTAATCTGGGGATCAGAAGTGCAGACATGAGAGCTACAGGATTAACCTCTGCTTTACTTCAATAAATGGCGAAGACTTAGACTCCATAACTGCCCGACCCTGTCGCTGCAAAGGATCATCAGTGTTCACAGCCGAACACAGACAACTCAGCCCAGTCACCGGGGGAGATGGCAAAGATGCCTCTGCTCCACTACTGCTCTTTAGCTGTTTCCCACACACCAACCCCACCAGACCAACACTTGAAAAACGCTGGGAGAGAAACAGAAGAGAGCTGGTGCTGGGACAGTGCTGTGAGCTGGGAGGGCTGTGGGTGGGTTACCATCGTCCTGCGAGTCCTCTTCCAGTCGGTCTTTGCCACCACTCTCCACCCCCGAGGTGTGGGAACTGCCGTGGCTAGTCATCGAGCTGCAGGTTTTCAGCTTGCGGTGGATGGCGCTGCCGGAGTAGCTGTCCTCCGGCCCTGTGTCCCGGGGCTTGGTGTCTGCCTCGATGCCGGATGTGTGGGAGCTGCTGTGGCTGGTGGTGGAATGACGAGACAGACGTTTGTGCTTCATGCTGCCCGCGCTACTCCCGCTGGCCCGCGACCGCTTCTCTATCTGGTCCATGTCAAGCTCCAGGTTGTCACTGATGTAGGACTCTCGGTACTGCTTCTTTTCTGGGGGAAGGAGCACAGCCACGTTAGCCATGTTATGTCCGACCAGAGGAATGCTGGAAAAGCTCAGCTGTGTCACTGGGCCAAGGACAAGGGCAACGACACCTTCAGAATCCAGTGACAGAGAAGTGGCGATAGTATAGGCGGGAGCTTGACTTAAGCAGGTTGCAGAATGAATAAAAACCAGTCCAGCTGATGTGAGGGGGCTACTGAAACTCCTCAAAGAGCTGTGAAGCTGCAAGCACCGTGGAAGGGTGCTGCAGACAGTGTTGGTCCTCTGTAAAATAGGTTCAATAATTGAGAACCAACATTCAGAAACTTTCAGAGCAATTTGTTTTTCTTTCTTTTTCTTTTCTTTTCTTTTTCTTTTTTTTTCTTTTTTTTTTTTTTTTTTTTTTTGCCATAGGGTGTTATTTACTTGCCAGAGAGAGAGAGAAATTGAGACTCACCCTACAGGGGAATGGCCACACCACAATTCCTTCTCCTTCATTCTCTTCTACTTTTTGGGCATGCACACACATGTACCCAGAGTGAATTTTAAGCTGCTGGGTCCAGGGCTCAAACCACAGTGGACCATGTAGGAATCCAGTGCCTCACTACTGCACCACTTGCTGGTCCCTTTCCAGGGCAACTGACATTGCCCTGACAGCCACTATTGTGCAAAAATATCAGTCCACAGGGTATTAGATATTTTAAAAAATCTGGTCCTTCTCTACAGATAGTTTCTAGGATTACTGCTGTAGAAGACTATTTAATAAATATAATTAGTGGCAACTATTAAATGCTAATTGGCATTCATCTTATTTATTCATTTCTTCTATTGATCCACTATTAGCTTAACTCTGTTAAATAAAATTAAAACTATTCTGCTAATTTTTTTTTTCAAAGTCTAAGATTCAGGGTTCCGTCAATATAATATTGTATGTTTGTTCCATTTAGGCTGAAAAGTTGAGGTCTTGTCATCTATTTAGAAAACATGTAATAATCTTTATTAGTTTGATGATTTATATCCACAAAGCCTCTGATCAATAAAATTGTTCTTTGATTTAATATTGTCAATGCTTTCTTTAATGTAGTAAAAGACACAACACTGGAAAATTATTAGGTTGTTGTGAAAGTCATGACTTGTTTTTTAAAGAATTATTTTATTTAAGCTTATTTATTTACTCATTTTAATTTTATCAGAGAGGGACAAAGAGAGAGAGGAGGGGAAAGTGAGAAAGCAAGCTGCCAAGTCCAGGACTCAAACCATGGTTGGCCACGTGGGAGTCCAGAGCCCTTAACCACCATGCTACCTGCCAGCCCTCTTTTTTTTTTTTGTTTTTCTATGCTAAAATGCATCATGACTTTCCCAACAACCTAATGTGAGGAATATATTCACGTTGGAACATTCACTTTACAAGCTAAGTGACATATGCGATTGAATGTATAAAAGAAATTAAACAAATTAAAATTTAAAAAATACTAAATTTATGATTACATCAGATACAAAGTTCTAATTGTGCTGCAGGTGTACAGATGACATGAAATATCATCTTTGTGTTTCAAGTAGGAAATTTAAAACAACAATGAAATTCAGTTTCCTTGACTTTAAAACTGATGAGAAATAACACATTAAAACAATGTTAAAAATGGGGAATGCGTTTGGGGAATAAGTTAATGTTATTTCAGAAAGTGATACTAGTAGACTAATTGGGTTCTCAGGGGCCTGTTTATGGATTTAACTGCCTTGTTTCTTGCTTAACTGAAAATAATTTCACTCCCAATGTCTAAATCTAGGTCTGAGGTATAATCAGCACAGGCTTCCCAGAGGAAGAAAGAACTGGAGAACATAAAAGCATTAAAAATTGTAATGGACACTAGAGACGAAGCGGAAAGTGTGGGAGGGGAAGAGCATAGGAAAGGAAATTTGGAGGAAAAGCAGAGAGGTAAGACACTTGTGGGACACAGATCTGGTTTATTATCTATTGATGAGGATGTGTATCGTATTCTCTACTGAGCTGGACTGAGGTGTACCTCATGCTTCGTAAAGTCTCATGCTTCGTAAAGTCTCATACAGCAATGGACTGTATGAATACTGCTACTACTAATAAATAAAAATAAGAGAGAAAAAAGCAAAAACAGACATGCTTTCTAGGGTACAAAATGCAAAAAATGTTTGGCGAGGGCTATGTGTATATGTCTGGTCTGGCCCCTTCATGTCGTTTGGAGGAACCCAGTTGAAGCACGAAGGTGAGTGTGTGCAGCTATACAGAAAGCAGGCTGGAACTGGACCTGCTGTGCACCGCACCACGATGGCAGTGCACCCAACTATGCTGCATCCTTCAGGGAGCAGACAGGGGAGAGATGTAGAGAGCTAAAGGGATGTACGGAATTCTCATACAATTTATAGTCACCGTCATTTCGACTGAACAGCTTGTGGCCCTTGGAAGAGTGAAAAGTAAAGAGAAAACAGGAAAAAATATATATGATGTTGGAGTTCTGAGACAATTAGGAATTGTGGATCTAATCATTTAAAAGCACTTCCATCACTAAACAAATAGTCTGTTTACTCCTAACTGCCTAGCATGCTCAGAGCCAGTTACAGTTCCTCTGTCTCATGATGACACCCACGAGAAGGCAGGTGTGTGTCTGCGTGCCCACTGCCTAACAGGAGCCCAGTGTAAACCAGCTCCTGACACCTTCTCAGCATAGCCTTCGAGTTCTACATGGCTGGCTTCTTTTCCCTGCCCAGTGCTACGTCATTTAGAGCCTTTGCAAAATTCACCACTCAGTTATAAAATCACGCACTGAAGGAAACACTGAAATCATTCTGAAATGTATTTTTATTAGTTTTTTTTGGAAGATATTTGCTATATAGGGTACGTGCACTTGTGGGAGAGAGAGACACAGAGAGGGAAAGTGAAAAATCACTGCCCTAGAGAGGATGGCCATGCCACAATTCATTCTCCTCTTGGGATTTTGGGCAAGCATGCACACATGTCCAGTGTGAGTTTCAAGTCACGGGGCCCAGGACTTGAATTGCGGTCAGCCATGTGGGAGTCCAGCACCTTAACCACTACGCTACCTGCTGGTCTCCTGAAATGTATTCTAAGAAATGCAAAATATAAACTCTCATCCACCTAATAATTAGTGGTGTCAACAGTTCAGATAATCCATGTGTCTGTGTTTCTCTTAGCCCCTCTGTTATAAAAAGCCCAGAGACTACAAAGCTTTTCATACATTCTTTTGGAACATACTGCAATAAAAGACCTTTTGACATACAGCCTAAGCTCAGCTACTGAATGAAGTTGGGCTTAAAATATTTTTTAATGACATAAAGTATGTTTTTCCTTCTTTTAAAAAGCCTATAAAAGAATTCTTATGATCATTTTCTAATACAAAATACTAAAACAGTTTCAGACAAGGTGACTCTAGCTGAAATTTAATTAAGAGAAACACTGACTCTCTTTGTACTTTTTTTTCTTTCTCAATTAGTGCCATGAAAAAGGCTTTTCTTGTTAAAATGATGGAGACTCAAGTGGGGGAGACAACTGAATTCAGACCAAAGCAGGCCCAGAGAACTTGGGTGCAGGACTTCTTTGGACCTGGAGGTAGCTCTGAGTAGAAGATACCAAGTATGTTTCTTGGTAGAAGAAAAAGAAAAATGTCCCTCAAGTGGGACATTTTATCAACACTCATCAACAAAACAAACAAACAAACAAAAAACAGTCTAATTTATACCTTTTTCACTCCTTAGTCTCCTTCTATCATGGTTTGAATGCCCATTACCTCCCAAACTTAATGTTGAAATTTAATCGTCATTGCAACAATATTACTGTAAGATGTAGCACCGTGAAAATGTAATTAGTCCATGAAGGCTCTACGCTCATGAATGGATTAATGCTGTCATTGCAAGAATAGGTTTATTATAAAGGGGCATTCGGCCCTCTTTTACTTTCTCTCTTGCCCTCTCTTTGCCCATGGGATGGTGCAGCAAGAAGGTGCTTGGCAGATGCCAGTTCCATGGGCTTCTCAGGCTCCAGATTGAGGAGATAAATTACCCAGTCTGGGCCAGCCATAAAG